ATGAATAAATGAAGACTCGGCACACCACTTCTGAAAGGTTGCCGACCCCTGGCTTAGGATATAGAGACCACAGCAACTTGACTGTACAAGGAGACTGCAGGAAATGAGGAATCTTTGATGTGCATTATTTATTGAGCACAGTGTCTGAAAGGAAGACTCAGTCTCTGCCCCACAAAACTTACAATAGAACTTCACAAACAACCACATTCTGTGCTGCATTTACACCCATTGTGATTCCATATAACCCAGAGGTGCAGGGGCCACGCATGGCAGAAGTTAGGGCCGAATTTGGCCCTACATATGACTGAACAGCTACGTTGTGGAAAATCTTCTTTAAACGAATAAATAAACTAAACCAATTCACTTCATACAAATATTAATGTGGGAACCTTCCCATCAATTTGAAATGTGTTGCCTAGTTTCTACACTGAAAGTTCTGGGAAAACAAAAGCTACCTGCTTATGTCTGTCATTTCATTTTTACTCTTGTAGCAGCTGTTGGGAGCCCATCTTTGTACTCAGCATCATTAGAATGCAATAAATCAGTAATATATATATATAATGGGGAGACGACAAAAAGCCCTCCATGCAGGCTTCACAATCATTTTCTCCATCTTTTGTTAAAAATGACAAAAGCCTTTTAAAAAACATCCCTGCAGCTGCCTCAGTTGCCCAGCAACGTGGGCCTGAACATTCCCATCGTCCCTAAAAAACACAGATCAGGTCCCGCTTCATGCTCCAGGAGAGAAACCTCCAGAACTGGCTGGCTCCATTTGTTCATTAGTGATCATTATTGGTACTGAATGCTGCTGCTTTATGTTATGGGAACTGGTTTCCTCCTGCAGCATCTTTTGGCTCTTGAGTTTCTTTTAAAGTGTGTTATGATGGTTTAATTTTTGCTGCTGATCTTTTTGTGTTGTGTCTGTGCTGTGCTGAGCGTGCTTTATAAATTAGATTGCAGCATTATGATTTACAGAAAGCTATTCCCTCCTCTCTCTCTCTCTCGCCCCAAAGGCCTTTGTGGCTGGATTCATGGTAGTAAGGCAGCCTGTCTTGACTAGTGTAGGGTTACACAGAATAGTACCAGCGAATTAAAAAGTCTTTAAAATATTTCTAAAACAGTCTGTAAAATGTCATGTAAACCAATTAATTAAATACATGATGCAGAGTGATGCAAAGGTTTTATTGGCATGATTTCAGCATGACTGCATTAATCACAAGTAATATAGCCAACCCAAATGGGTTATATAGGAGTGTGTACTTTCTTTATATACTTAATGTTATAATTATTGAGTTAAATATGCCCCTTATGTAATGAATCTTTTTATTATAACACTCTGCTATTTCCTCATTCATTCACTCCCTGTCTTGTTTTTGATCTTTGGTTACCATTTGGTGGAAAAAGTGGATTAATTTGTAATGACACCCTGTAATTTGGATTATAAACACTTGATCTAGTGTAGTATATTTTAAGGTGGCTTGATTTGTACCATGTGTCTGTACAGCGACACTCACCCCTCACCAGTGCCTTTATATATTACTGTTATAGTAGTAATATGCTTGTGGACGTAAGAGGATTTAATATTTCTAATTCAGTTATGTTTAAAAGAGAGTTATAAACAGAAAAAGAAGTTTAATTAAAATATGAACTTGCTTGAATCGCAGCTAACTTAAGGAAAATTAATAAGCACAAAAGAGGCATTTAAGAGCTCCAAGCTGAGATTTTCTATATTTCAGAAATGCAAGCAGAGAACATGAACGTTATGCGACATGAAACCATTGAGCATTAGTATCAGCATTTTTAAGACAAAAATCAAAGTGACTATAATTTATATTCAGGCTGATATACTATGAAGTCTGCAATGCAGACAGCATGCACATTAGCATCATAATAAAACCCGGCTTCAGAGAGGGGATTGGCACAATTTGAATATCAGAAAGTGCTCTTTTCCCTATCGCAGTGAAATTGTAATAGGATCAAAACAATCTCCTGCTGCCCCAGATGATGGAGGCCTGCAGAGTGATGACCTCTCAGTTATTAATTTACAGTCCTCAAGTGTGTGCTAAATGCTTTATGGTGCCAATAGCAAGACAAGGTCCCAGCCTTGAAGAGCTTACAGTCCAATGTATCCATATATGAAGAAGGTAATACGTAGTAGGGTGGGGATGGGGTGGGAGAGATGAATGTTATGCCACAGTGTGTCTGCTCTCTGAAAGCCAGCCCAATGCAAACAGGAATGAAGGCGCTGAAGGGTCTGGCCTACTGCTCACACCATTAGAGAAGCTTTAAGAGAGATTCTGTGGTAGCAGTTCTGCTTTGTGCTGTATTGAGCTGGATTTTCCAAATTGGCCACCTAGCAAACGAACATGTTAACTAACTTATTCAAATATTAGTGTTTGGGCAATTTGTGTTTGAACGTGTTAGGAGGGGTCACCTCGACCAGCTAACGCATGTTAGAACCAAACCTTGCTTTGTCTACGTTAATATTTTACCCTGTGTTAATGTGTTAGCTAACCTGTTACAGCGCATCTCTTTCCTAGGTAGACATGGCCAGAAACTGCAGATGCAAAATTGTTGTATGCACACACACAGGAACAAAATCTGCATTGCACGTGCAAAAGAGCACTCACGTGTAAAGCTGGCTAGCGAATGACCATTCCATTTCACAACTTTTCAGGTTTCAAAGTTTTTCATTCCTCACTGGAATGAAAATGGAATTGTGATGAAATATCTGTTTTAAGATCTAAACCATCAGGTTTTCAATTTGGGTCTTTCTCTCCGGAGAGTTCACCCCAGCACTCAGTGACCTTACAGTCAGCTGAAATTGGCACATTTCCGCAAAATGTTTGGTTTTGACAAAACAGCATTTTTTTAATTAAAAACTTTTGTTGAGAAAGTTCTGACCAGCTGTACTTATGCGCACAATTACCTGCCTTGCACGTACTAATGCTTCTTCACAGAACCCTCATTGAACTGTTGTGAGATTCAGTGTTTGCGAAGGGCTCTGAGAGAGCAGATGATAAAGAGGGGGAAATTAATAGTTGCAATCGTTAAATGCAGGTGGGTTTCCCACGTGCACCTTGTCAGTAGCACCAGGACTTTGTGCTGCTGAAAGTGTACATCCACTGGAGTGAGGAAAGAGTTAATCTTCCAGCCCAATCTCCCTGGTAGTTAAGCAACAGCTCACTGTGCATCTCCTGGAGGGTTTTCTGTTTGCTGGGTAAGCAGTGTAGACTCAGGGTGATGATGCAACTATCCAGCAGCCCATAGCCCACCCATCTTCCTCCTGCAGATCGGTCCAGCAGCTCAGCAACATGGATCCCAGACCACAAACAGCAAGAGGGAGCACACACAGGCAGCCTGGGCTGTGAAATGGGACAGGTATCAGCCCACAGCTTTGCATCCCTGAGCCTTTCACAACTGCCTTTGCTTCCCCACCCAGGCAGCAGAAGGACCAGGGATTCTGTTGCTTCTCAAAAGGGATCCAACCAAAGTTTATCTCTTTACTCTTTGTGGAAAGTAGTGGTTTTGTTCATGTCTGTAAAGTGTGGTGTAAGTGTATGTATTATGATGATTTGGGGGAGGTTTGATCATTCTAAGAAAAGGATTAGGCTCTTTTAGACCAATCTTTTGCAAAGCAATTAACTATCTTGTTAGAAGTGGAGTACCTTATTTTGAATGTGTACAGAATTTTTCACCTCTGCAAACTTGCCAACATCTGAAAGCTCCAAACAAGGACAGACTTTATCTCCACTGAGAGACAATGCAAGTGCAAGAGCTTTTGCAATGGAGAGCTGGAAAAGGTGGGGACTGTCCTTGCAAATTAGAGCCGATGGCAGTTGGTGTGTAATGGCTTTAAATGTTTTGAAGTCTCTATGCTGCTTTGTTTATCTGAAATGCAAGAGTAAGGCGATGCAGAAGAGTGTGTGGTCATAAAGCATGGTGTATGGTTTGTGCTTCTTCCACAAGAGATGCTAGCTAATGATAGGAAACAGCTGTAGGAATGTGAAAATATTAAGAACTTCATTGCTTCTCTGAGTCCCTGTGATCACAGCCTGCTGCTCCCCTTTCCTGTGTTGTGCTTGCTGCTCTATCCCAGATGGCAGAAGAAACATTCAGCTATAGACCGTATGTATCTGGCTTTTCTAGGTCCATGTAGTACAGGAAGACCTCTGCTCAGGTTAGTCCTGTATCTACCTGTGGATTTGTGAGAAATGCCAGGGGAGGTTCCAATTTACATGTATTTGATGCAGACATATATTGTGTTTTTGAATGCTGTGGTTTTTGTCATGTTCCTGGAGATGAGAAGAATTTTCAGACAGCAGGTGGCCAGGTGTGGTGAAAAACATCTTTTAGATTATTGAGCTCACCTCTGAATCAGAGCCAGTTGATAAGAGGTGTCAGATACTGAACCCAATCTTGGCCAGTTGCTGAGAAGAATTTATGGCAAATCCCTTAGTGGTGCTTAAGAAAAGGTTAGTTAAGGGACAGAGGGTCCAGAATGGTTTGTGTGGGCTACCTGCCCCTAGGTGGTCTCCTGTGGAGCAATCTGGCTTGTTTCACATTCCCATTGCTTTAATCTTTTAAAAATATAAAATATTTTTCACCTCATTCATCTGTTGTGTTTTCACCTCGCACTCATCCGGTACATGTGTTTTCTATGTCTATCTCCGTCTCCCTCTTCCAGTTTCACTTCCCTTTTAGAGTGTTCAGCTTTTCTTTGTCAAAGTGACACCAAACAAATGAATGGTCCTAGAGGGATGATTTCCTGATGTTTCATTTGAAAGGGGCATTCAGAGGACTAACATGACAGAGAAGTAACATGATGGCCCCTTCCCCAGGACTGTGTACTATTAGGAAATCCTTATGCCATTCTGAATGGTCAGATGTCTCTCCTTTCTTCCAGGTGATAAAGCTACCCACTCATTCTGGTTTGTGGCTCGTGTTGACCCCAGCTATGTCTGTTTTGCTTCATGCATATTTCAGCTCATGAAGACGCTGGCATTAAACCCAAGCCCTCTACTGTGCACCTGATCTTTCATCTTCAGAAAAAGGAGATTAACGGGACTTTGAGAGACAGAATCGGCAGGTTTACCCATTGTAAAGGCATTCTTTGAGAAAGCAAAATAAACCAGGTGAGACCAGCCAGAATGTATAACCTTTTCTGAAGGCCTATTTCTGAACTCAGTTCCCCCAGGGTAAATCTGGAATAGCTTGGTTGATGTTAGTGGAGTTACTGTACTCTGGGTTTACTGTAGTTGTGCAGAATGGCGTATAGAATCCAAACACACACCCAAAATAGCTGCTTAGTGAAAGGAAGACAGTGAGATCCCTGAATGATCCTAAGAAGGTCTAATTCAGATGTCTGTAAGTGTCACCAAGCCCCGCTCCAGGCACTAGGAACAAGACTGAAAAAGAAAGGGTTAAAGTATTGTTAGGCCCTCCATGTAAGTTTTGCTGGGGGAGGAGGTGAAAATTGGGAGAAGTGTTTATAAAAACCTAATATGGATAAAAAATGGGTTGTTTTTTATTGGTTTGGTTTTTCTTTTTAAAACACTGAATCCAAGCAAAAGGCCTTGAGCTGGAGCCTGAAATTCCCTAGAACTAGAGTCAAACTCACCAGACTAGTTTCACTGCCCTAAGCTGACTGAAGTGCAAAACTTAAACTTCACAAAAGGCAAAAAGAAAAGTTAGATTTGCAAAACCCATTTTGTTTTACTGATCTTCAGTCCTGTGTTGTCAGTAACACAGGAATGGCCTTACTGCCCCCTGCATGTGATGGGACATGGGCTGCTTCTGCTCCTGGGGGCTGCACTTCCATATTGGAGACAGAGCATAAAAAGCATCCCAAGTGCAGCCCCTGAATTCATAAGTCACCATTATGGGTGTAGCCAATGGTAGGACACAGTCTTGGTGCTCCTGCAGGTGACAAAAGAGAACGGCAAAGCATTGATTTTCTGCAGTTTGTCCCATGAGAGCAGATGTTGGAAATAGGAGAAGTCCAACTTTATTAGCAGGTGAATGCCCCTTCAGTTTAACCTGATGGTCATTTGCATGGCAATAAGCCTCAGTCAACTGATCTTGTCCTTGTCCTTGGGGAGTAATTGATCATCCACTAAATAATCCTCCTCCATTAGCCTCGTGTGCGGTGAGTCATCGCTCAGGAGGTTATTCACCGATAAGCTAATGCTGCCTCTTTGTGCTCTTCTGTATTCATCTTCTTTAAAGACCATTCTGCCCCAGTAGATGGGGGGGTGAGTGCAGCACCCAGCCTTGCTGGAAATGGCTGTTTCATGAACCAGGAGTTCAGTGACGGGGGAGGGGGGACGTCTGATAAGGGTAATCTCCAAAGCGCCGCAGTAATGTAAATCAGGTATCCGGAGTACCAGAGGCTGTGGGTGCATGGGTGACATCTCAGTGCGCACTGTTGTGAAGGTAATATCTACCCTGGTGTGCAGTGTCACTTCTGCTGCCATATTCTACCCCAGAGGTGGCTGCATTACTGTGATGGGTAAATTGAGTCCAATTTAAATAGTCTGTGCAAACAGTTGGCAACATTAGACCCATCCGGGTGAAAGGACCTGGTCGTGGGAGGCGCTCAGATACCACGGTGAGGAGGGCTCATCGATGGATAGATACTAGAGGTGCTCTCAAGGCTAAAGCTGGTTAGTTATTTCCAGTTTCACCTGTAGCACAGAGGGCCGTTGTCGGGCCCTCCCCACCATTGCTGGAGATGAGCTGGGGTCAGACAGCTGAGCAGAGGGGCTGTGCGTGCCTGTGTGCTGAGCAGCTGTCTCCGTGCTGGCCTCTGTGGGGCCCTGTGTGGAAGGTCAGTTTTGGAGGCTGTCCAGAGGAAGGACCATGACTCTGTGGATCCAGTGGCCCATGTGCCCCATGCAAGCAGCATGGAGAGTCTGTGACAACTATTCTAGCCCACCCCTGGGCTGGGAGGTGGCCTTGGTTGGCCCAGCCTCTCTGCACCTCACCCACCTAGATCCCAAGTGCACTGGGTTGGTGGAGGGAGAACTGAATCCACCCAGGCTGGTGCTGGGGTCAGCGTGTTCCATGGATCACGTTTGGCATGGCCTGAAAGGCTAGCTCAGGGAGCGGAGTGTGATGTAGCCATCTGGGGAGCGCGGTACTGCGTGCGTTGCGAGACTTGTGCGTTCTTGTCTCAGTTACTTGTTCAAGGCACTGCGGGGGAGGTTCTGGGGGTGGCTGGAAGGGACCGTTATGGGGTCATACACACGGAACACTTTCTGTCATGCCGAATGGTAGCTAAACGTTTGCAGCTTCCACCTGGGAATAAATAGCAAACTTCAGCCTTTTGCAAAGGCGCTAACTCCAGCCTCCTGCGCAGCAAGGGCTGTGCTCTGGGGGGCTATGACAGAGACTGCGTCTATGGAGTTGTGTATCCATGGGAGGGTTTCTGTGGCTCTGTAGACAACTCCCTTTGTAAAATCTGTGATACAGCAGGGCCAGGGAGCGGTGGGAGAGTGGTCCTATTGAAAATTCCTGGGGAAGTGGGCGGGCGTAAGCTCGCCCACGGCTAAAGGACCCTCCCCCAGCCTTTAGGGAGGATCCACTGAGCCCAGAAACTCAACTGATTACAGGGGACAACATAAAAGAAAACAAGGGCGGATGTGAAGGTCAAAAAGAGAGAACCTAAAGGGGACACCGAGCGGAGAACCCCGGACAGCGTCCAATGCTCCTTGAAGGTACCAAGGGAGCCAGCGGACGCTGCCCAGAGGAACTCCACCCGGATACGTGAATGGAGGACCGGAAATAGGCCCCACAGTCGCAAAGAGCCCCCTCAGCCAACATCTGCTCCCTGCTGTAATAAATGGCCACTTTGGCCATGGCCAGGAGGAGGTTGAGGAGGAGGTCCCATGACTTTGTGGGGCCATGGATAGGGTAGAGGGGAGATGTATAAACCCTAGGCTAATTAAGGTGTGGCTCCTTGTAGACTAGGGAAGGTTACTACAGGTTAATTGGAGCACCTGTAACCAATTAAGGCCCTGTCAGGAACCTAAGAAACCCCCCTGCTTCAGGCAGACAGGGTGGAGAGAGGACTGGAGTTTGGAGGAGTGTTGCTGAGAACTGAAAGACCAGAGAACCGGAGGAAGGGAGACCTTGCCCCAGCAGATCAGGGAGACTTTCTCCTCCAGCGTCAAGGACCGAGGGTAAGAAACCCGCAGGGGTTGAGAGGGGCTGGGATCAGAGTGAGGCGCAAACCCCTCCCCCGCTTCCCTCCTCTACCACCTTCCCGAGCCACTAGCAGGACCCGCTATACCAATATCAGCCATTTTGTCACAGCCCACATTAATAAATGAAGGTGGATTCCTGATGGAAGTGACAATAGTTCCCGGTCCCCAGCTAGTGGGATACAGGCGCCATCTAGTGCCGAGCCGAGGGAAAGGCCAACCCACAAGGAAAACGAGAAGTCATGGACTGCAGCTAATAAGAGCGCTTGGCCCTTCACATGTTCAAAGGACTCTACAGACTCCACTAATGAATCTGCACAGCCCCTGTGAGGTGTGAGGACTCGGGTCTTTACTTGGATTGTAAGATCATTGTAGCAGGGCCATCTTTTTGTTACAAGTTGGTGCGGTGCTTGGTGCGGTAGGGCAGGGGTCTGCGAATGCTGTACCAATACCGCATTACAGTAAATACTACCCCAGTTATGCAGCTGGACAAACAGAGGGAGCGAGGTTACGTTACCTGCCCAAGGCCACGCAGTGAGTCAGTGGCACAGCTGGGACCTAGATTTCGGCGCAGGTCATTACACTGTGCTGCCTCCATGAATGAGAAGTGTTTTCTGGCAGGGACAAAGAGTGAATCTGGGCAAGTATCTGTAATGTGCTTATTTGACTAAGATCTATTGTTGACCTATGACAAGCACTAGAAGGCTGCCCATCAGCGTGGCCTCTGGGCTCACCACAAGACATCAACTTCTGCTAAGGGCAAGTGGGCTAAGGCTGGAATTAGGTGCTAGAGAAGAGGATTGGGGTGGGAGCTTGTTGTGCTCACATCCAGTATTTCCGTGTCTCTTAGGCACTCGTCAGAGCCTCGAGCAGTGAGCACCGAGCTGGAGCCATGGGGACTGTGGCACTCTATGTGCTTGTTTCTAGTGTGATACAGAACTGCTACTTGAGGAGCAGCCAGTGCAGGGCAGAACTGGGTAAGTGTGATGTGGAACAGGCTTCGGCCCTCGCGGTGCTGGGCATCTCAGTCACTCAGCCATGCTGCAGCGTTTGGCAGTGCCACGGCCATAATAAAGGCCCTAGAGTTGTTCTGATGGGCCCAGGGAGACAGACATATATCCAGGAATCGCTTTGGAGTCCTAAAGCATCCAAAGCCCCAGGGCTCTATGAGCTCCGTCAGCTGGGACGCAGAGTTTTGAATGCCCAAGGGCAGCAGACGTTGGCAGCAAGGAGGCCCTTTGATGCAGCTAGATTCTGTAGGCTAGTCCTATAGTAGCCATGCTGGCTAGTGGCACTTGGCCTGTTCTGATCCATCCCACTAGCCCCAAACACAAGCTGCTGCTCTGAATGGCCTGGGTTGTTTCAGATCCGTCCTTTTGCTTTGTGTGTGGTTCTGCCGCATCTCTGTCTGTGGAAGGAGAGTGCTGACACGGGACTGTCCATTCTGTCCCTTGCAGCATTTACCTCCTGCCCAGGGGATACTGTAGCTCAGCTGAACTGGCCAATGACTCTTTCTTGTGCTGCTTATGATGCATCTCTTCAGATTCCTGCTGCAATAGGTTCAGAGGCATTGCTGCCCTTAGCTCTCAGCAACGTTCCTGGGCTCAGGGGGGGCTCCCTTTCTTTCTCTGTGTTGCTGAGAACGCGGCAGGGAGGACAGCAGGACGGCAACGCTGACCATGAATGGTGAGAGAGAGAGAGCACAGCTTCCCATGGTCTGTTGGGGGAACATATGAGTCTGCTAACAGCCATTGCTAACCAGGCCTGTCTGTCTGGGACCCCCAATTCCTGAAGGAGACAGCCGGGTTTTCTGGCTACTGGGTTCAAGAGCATCCTCACTCTTTCTTGTGCTTCCTTTTGCTTGAGAGGATGGAGACACCGGGCAGCTCCCGGAGGCTGTCTGTGAAGGATGCAAAGGGTTTGGATGTACGCAGGAAATCGGGAGTTGATGGGGACTACAGCAGTGACACACACCTGATCTTTTATAGATGGAGAAGTGAACACCTGGGATGAGGGAGTCAGAAATACCCCAGCCTCTGTCACCAGCCTCCTGCAGGTAAATCTGGCATATAAACTTTGTGGTTGAGATCCTGACCTCAGCGGGAATTTGGCTACTGGCTTCAGTGGGGTCAGGATTTCACTCCTGTGTCCAGTTCCCCTTTGTGGGATAAAGCTGAACCTCCCAGGAGGTGTCAAGTGGGGATGTTTTGCTCTCAGTATCAGGATGGGAGCAGCGACTGACAACCGCCAACCATTTCCTCACCTGGCTGCCCATGGCCTGGGGATAGCAGAGCCTCCCTCTGTGGGAGGAGGCAGCAGGAGGAAACGGTGCTCGGCTCACGCCTGCATTATACCAGGTCCACGCTCTGCCCCAGAGACCGAAGCATGGTGATTGGCAGGGCCCCACGCGAGGCGATGGGGCCATGATGAGGCTAACACAGGGCCAGAATCATAGACTTATCAGGGTTGGAAGGGACCTCAGGAGGTCATCTAGTCCAACCCCCTGCTCAAAGCAGGACCAATTCCCAACTAAATCATCCTGGGCCTGCCCCTCAGCCAGACTGACAGCGTATCCAATGCACTTTGTGTTTTGCAGCTCAGACGGGCCGATGCCAGAGGAGAGGGGCTCTCTGCCAAGGTCCCTCTGGTAAAAGCAAGTGAGGCAGCTCACACAAGGGGAACCAGCTCCTCACCACATCCTGTCCCCAGCCCAGATTCAGGAGCCTGTGAGTGTCAGGTGTGATTTGTGTGTCAAGGGGGGGTGCCACAAGCGTTCTTCTGCATGACACCCTCCAGGCCGCGTGTGCTGTTCACCTCGCCCCCCTGAGCCAGACTCCCGCTGGCACTGCTGCTCCATCTGCTCCAGGCATCATCCCTTGGCTTCCTCTAGGGCTTCATGGCATGTGAGCCTCCTGCTGGCACTGGCCTGAGCGTGGCTGGGCCTCGCTCACCTCTCACCCACGCAAACACTCTGTCAGGAGCATCGTGCCTTTCCGGTGCCTGTGTTACCTCCCAGGGGCTCCCTCAGCCCTGGCTGGCTGAGGGCTCTCATTCCTCTGTGCATGTTATCACCACCCGGACATGCTGACATGGGGGATTCATAACCCCTGATGGCTCGCTGGCCATCGTCCACCTGACTGGAGACTTCTCCCCCCAGGGGCTGCTCCAGAACAGGCCCCACCTGTTGCCTCAGTCTCTGCACCGCCCTCCCCATGGCTGCCGTTTCCCCGAGCATCCTGCAGGGCCCCTAGCGTCAGGGCAGTGCTTCTCTCTTTGTCTCCAGCCTTTAGTTCCTCCACCACGGGGAGGGCCCTGCCTGCAGGAGAGGTTTCTGCCCTGGCGTTGCCCTTGGAACAGGAAGGTGAAGGAAGTGGCACTGCAGCCCCAGGGAGCGCTGCCCAGGGGCCACCTGGAGCTATCGAGCATCCCTCAGGAATCTGGGGCAAGGAAATCCCCGCTCGCAACAGGAGCAAAGCGTATTCTCTGCCTGCTGGGAACGCTACAGGGATGGTACGATTGTCCACCCACAGGAAACAGGACAATGCCACCCAGCCTCCAGTCACCACAGCAAGGTAACGCACAGAGGCCAGCTGCTTCCGTTCATTGCATTAGCCTGCTGGTGCATGTCATTGTTCTGATCTGAGGCCCAGACCCACAATGCAAGTTAGGTGCCCAAGTACTTTTGTGGATCTGGGCCTGACTGCTGTACTCTTGCAGGCAGAAATCTCCACCTGCTTCCAACTGGCTCCCCGTCCTGGAGAAGCATGACATCCCGGTGGTTGTGGGAGTCTCCGTGTCTCTGGCTTTGATATTCATTTCCATGGGGGTGTATTCGTTCCGCCAGAAAATAGAGCACGCCAAAGGCAATAGTACCTGTGAGTATTTCAGCCCTGGCTTCCGAAAGGCAGCGTGTTCTCTAGGGGCATAACAACCCTGTCCACACCTCAGAGAGGAGGAGTTTGGAGCAGTGGTGAAAGCTCTCGGTGTGTATTTGGCAGGTATCCGTGCTGTCCCACTCTCACTGAGGCTGGCAATATGGGGGAGCAGCCCTTGGGATGACACTCTGGCATGTGTTTCCTTGGCCACCTGGAAACAGAAGTGACTAGAGAAGTGAACGCTCACTCCACTTCTCTGCACTTCACTACAAGTTGTGCGTGGGTTTGGGGTTAGACGGAGGTGAAGGTTTAGGGTTTGTGGTAGAAGAGG